TTACAGAGGTAATGAATCAGCTTCACTCCTATACATGGTTACAGTCATGAACAAATTACAAAGTAATGAACCAATGAGTTGAGAGCATTTATGGATGACAGAGAATCAGTTACAATTAAAGTGTCAACCTTAGATACATGGACACATTTGAGTGCAAGGAGTATGGCAAACAGTTCTGTTTGAAGGGTAGAGGCCCAGTTATTGATGCGTGCTCCAATTTCTTTGAGAGCCATCACTGTGTGACAGCAGCACTACCAGCTGCACCAGTGGACTGGTGAACAGAACCATCAACGTAAATAATTTGTGAAAGATTGTTCTGTGTGACTAAGTTATCAATACAGCTTAAGGCATCATGTTTGGCTTCAAGACGAAGCTTTGGTTGTGATTTAAGAAGAGTTTTGGGGGGAAATGGAGGAATGGTAGTTTGGAATGGGGTAATATCCCATGGAGCAGGGAAATGTCTGTTGTCTAACTTGATATAGATCATGTAGCTGGTTCATGCGGAGGTCGGTTCCAGTTTTTTCGATCCATCTGGTGACTGGAATTTCACCCATGTCCAAGCTCCTCCTCCATAGTGTACTTAGGGCACGCAAGAGGGGTTGCTTGCAGTTCTTAATGAAAACAGAGTTCCATGGTGGCTTATTTAGCAGGGGCACTCAATAAACAAGCACAAAAAACAATGGATTAAAATGAAATGTTTCTTAGGAATGCACAGGGTAATGTTCGCTCGAGAAACGAAGCCAGACTGACTCAGGATGCGTACATGGGATGCTTTGTGTGGCGCAGGCAGACTGACACGTTCGGTACGGCAGATGAAAACCGAGGTGATGAATGAAAACTGGGACAACATTTTTGATGAAAACAGTCGTCGAAAACCGAATTCGACGAAAACCAGGGCAAACGAAATCTGAGGTTCCACTGTAATGTATATATATCTGATACACTATTAAATGTATGCCCACATCATCTCCCACATATGCCATCAGAACTATTGCACAGTATTATTTGACAGTCTACAAATTGTTTTAATTCATAAATAATAAATTTTTCTGCAGTATACAGGCAGTGCAGTTTACACATAATAGGAACAGAAGAAAGCCACTAACGTGCAGTGCATTTTGGGCAAGTTATCTTAACACTGTTCATGCCAGTAAATGAACAAACATTAATATAGCATATTTGGTTCTTGTCTGAAGAATCCCAATTCAATCCTGAGTTGGAGTGGGACTTGTCCAATCAACTTTTTTCCCCTTTTCACTAGCACGTGGGTGCTAGCACTGTTAAGACTTGCATCCTCAAGAAGAGGATCAAAGAACCCCAATATAAAATAAGCTGCACTTATTGGATTTCTTGGGTTATCCTCTGTTATCATCCAATTTTAACTCTTATTAGCACATTCCTGGCAAATAATGGGTCCTACAGTCAAGCAGCAAGTTTTAAAAGGTTCATCAGGATGTGGGTGTGTGGTTCAACTCTTTCCACAAGAATAATAATAATAATTTTGCTCCACACAATGAGGGGTCCAGGTTCAATTCCCAGCAAAGGGGTGGAAACATTGGGCGTGTTTCCTTACACCAGTTGTCCATGTTCACCCATCAGTACTGTGTGTTAGTTTACTGGTGTGGGTTGCATCCTGGGACAAAATTGACCTAATTTGCCCGAAATGCTTTGCAAAACAAGTGGCTTTCTGTATAGTAGTGTCATTGATGTCAGCTAGGCCTGTATACCTTGTACATGTACTTGTAGAAATATTATTATTACCTAATTAACATCAGTGACATACTATATAGAAAGCCCCTGGTTATGCAGAGCATTTTTGGCAACCTTTTGAATTTGAACTTCGGTTAAGCTTGTTCCCCAGGATGCAGCCTACACCAGTCAGCTAACATCCAGATATATACTTACTGCTAGGTGGATGGGGACAGCAGTTGTAAGGAAACTCCCAACATTTCCACCCGTAATGGGGATTGAACCACAGACACTTGCGTGAGATGAGTGTGCTACCAACTGGAGCTACAGGACAGAGCCAATTGTCTGTTGATTGATGATCACACATATATACACCTCACTCATGGCCATCTGCTTACAGGTGATCTTTCTGATCTCTGCAACTTTTGGAGTGTCCCTAACTGTAGCACATTTAAAATCTTTACCCAGGGCTCTAGGCTTTTCTGCTTTTACCAGAGTACATTACCTGTAAAGACTTGTGGCATTCTCTGTGTCAGCCGCCCTTTTTTAACTAATGGGGATGTTAGTGAGGATGGAGTTTCCATTAGTGGGGTAGGGGGGTTGTAGTTTGTGTGTGGTATGAATGTACAGTATAAGAAAAGGAAATCAGTAATTTTATAAATAAGTAAAAAGAATAAAGATTTTATTTCTTTGTAGAGGTTAGTGTGTAATTACAATTTTGGTTTGCTAAGTACAAAGAAAGCCACTATCATGCTGGGGCATTTTGGGCAGACTAATCCTAATGCATAATAACTACTTAAATCTAGACAAGATAAGAGTGGTTAACTTTGACTAAAATCTTTATTTAATCTTGATACTAATGTGAAGTAATCAAGGTGGAGGTTTGTAAGAATAATAATGTTTGAAGTTACATGTAATAAAAGCATATTACAATTAATGGCTCAAGCAGTAATATTTCTTGGATTGGCAGATGTTTAAGAGACTAGAGGTCATAAAATATAACTGATTAGAAGTTGAAGAAAATTAGTGAATATAGGGAAGAAGAAAATTAAAAGTGAATATAGGAAAGAGTAAGGTTATGAGGGTAACAAAAAGATTAGGTGACAAAAGATGAGATGTCAGATTGGAGGGAGAGAGTATGAAGGAGGTGAATGTATTCAGATATTTAGGAGTGGACGTGTCAGTAGATGGGTCTATGAAGGATGAAGTGAATCATAGAATTGATGAGGGGAAAAGGGTGAGTGATGCACTTAGGAGTCTGTGGAGACAAAGAACTTTGTCCGTGGAAGCAAAGAGGGGAATGTGTGAGAGTATAGTTGTACCAACACGCTTGTATGGGTGTGAAGCATGGGTGGTGAATGTTGCAACAAGAAGGCTGGAGGCAGTGGAGATGTCATGCCTGAGGGCAATGTGTAGTGTGAATATAATGCATAGAATTCATAGTTTGGAAATTAGGAGGAGGTGTGGGATTATCAACACTATTATCCAGAGTGCTGAGGAGGAATTGTTGAGGTAGTTTGAACATGTAGAGAGGATGGAAGGAAATAGGACTTAGAGAGTGTATAAATCTGTAGTGGAGGGAAGGCAGGGTAGGGGTCGGCCCAGGAAGGGTTGGAGGGAGGGGGGTAAAGGAGGTTTTGTGTGCAAGGGGCTTGGACTTTCAGCAAGCGTGCATGAGCGTATTTAATAGGAGTGAATGGAGACAAATGGTTTTTAATACTTGGCATGCTGTTGGAGTGTGAGCAAAGTAACATTTATGAAGGGATTCAGGGAAACTGGCAGGCTGGACTTGAGTCCTGGAGATGGGAAGTACAGTGTCTACACTCTGAGGGAGGAGTGTTAATGTTGCAGTTTTATAACTGTAGTGTCAATCACCCCTCTGGCAAGACAGTGATGGAGTGAATGATGATGAAAGTTTTTCCTTTTCGGACCACCCTGCCTTGGTGGGAATCGGTCGATGTGTTGATAAAAAATAAAATAAAGTTGTTTTGGTTGGTTTGGTTAGTATTGAGAGATGAGATGATTTTTAAGCAAAGTCCTAAATTTATAAATATTCAGGGGATCCTTTGCTGGTTCAGGTAGTGAATTTTAGATCTTTGGGCCCTTTATGTGCATTGCATTTTTGCATAGTATGAGACTGACTTGAGGGGTGTCAAAGAGTGCCTTATGCCTTGTATTGTGACTGCATTCTGTTGTAGCTATCAAAGAGAAGTTTAAGCGGGAGGGGGGGGGGGGTTATATTGGAGTTTAATATTTCTGTATATATATAGTAGGCACAATAATACGAGTGTATGTTTCGTATATTTAGTGAAGTTTAGGCTTTTGAAAAGTGGTGGGGTGTGCTGTCTAGCACAGAAGCTGGTAATCATCTGCACAGCAGCTTTTTGTTGGGTTATTAAAGGTTTAAGGTGGTTGGCTGTGGTTGATCCCCAAACACAAATATCATAGGTGAGGTAGGGATATGTTAATGAGTGGTATAGGGTAAGGAGTGTCATTTGGGGTACATAGTGTCATATCTTGGAAAGGATGCCTACTGACTTGGAAATTTTCTTGGATGTATGCTGGATATAGGAATGAAATTTAAGATTATAGTCCTTAATGGCATTTTATTACCATTGCACTGCTAATTAAAAAATTCCTTGTGTCCAGTCCATGGACCCCATTATGTGCCTCTGTAATCTTTACTACCACCCACAGGATTGGTATGGGATGCATAATAGATATTAAATTTAAGTATGAGTACCCATCATATTCTCCACCTATCCCACCTGTTATAATCATATCCACCCTGGACTACCCATCTTCCTCTATGGAATTTAATAATTCTTTTACCTGCCTACCTTTTCCTCAGATCATATCAAAATGCCTCCCATTCTCCTTGGTACTGTATGACACTTGTTTGTAGTGTTCCCTATGAATCTAATAACTGTGGTTGTAATATACGTATTCCCCCCCCCCCTTTTTTTTTTTTTTCTTAACACATCAGCCACTTCCCACCAAGGTAGGGTGGCCCGGAAAAGAAAAACTTTCACCATCATTCACTCCATCACTGTCTTGCCAGAGGCCCACTTACACTACAGTTATAAAACTGCAACATTAACACTCGTCCTTCAGAGTGCAGTCACTGTACTTCCCTCCTTTTTTGGGGGGAGGGGGGGATTTCTGATTGAATGGTGCATTAATATCTTTTTATATCAAATACAAAACTATGAATGGATTTTACAGTTGTTTGAAGATGGCAATATCTCAGATGTGATTGATAGTGATCCCTAGCACTGGATTTGCCATTAATTGAGGATTTTGTCTTGCAGAAGTAAGCGTGGGTGGGTCATCATGGGATGTGGGTTCTGACGGGCGGGGATCCCTCTCCCCAGCATCATCTGCCACGCCCACTTCTGCCTCGGAGACTGATGTGGAAGCAGCAGCCACAGTGGGCGTGACTCAGACCACGCCCTACCAGTGTTCTTTCTGTGATCGAGCCTTTCCCCGTCTCTCCTACCTCAAACGCCACGAACAGGTGTGTCCCTGTTATGGGTACCTGAGTTGGTAAGCACTGTGCCTGCCACTGAGAGAAGCTTATTCTAGTATTTTTATTTTTTAATTTAGTGTTCAAAATCAGCATAACTGACATCCTGATATTCTTAGGTAAATCACAGAGGTTAAAATTGAACTTGATTTCCTGTTACATGATACTGGATGTAACTTTTCTCATTGAAATATTTCTTATTGTCCTAAACTAGATAGAATTTTCTGTCATAAGCCATTATCTACAAAGACCTCAGTTCAGGTAACATGTTAACTGTACGTACTTAGAATTTTTACCGGACCCTAAAAAAGGGACACTCGTCTGCATACAATAAATTTACATTTAACCGTAATGGATACATCATTGGTATAGGACAAGCATAAAATAGTAGGGAGACTCAAGATAATGTACTTCCATGTGGGACTTTACAAACTTTAACAATATGCCTCCAGTTGTTTATGCAAGACTTAACCAGTTTACAGATCCTGTGCCAAAATGTTGAATATTTTTTACATAATATTTCATGGTTTCCTGAGCCAAATAAGTTTTTGAAAGTCTGTTACCATCTCTGAAATGTCATAGCAGTATCTAGACCCATGGAATAAGCTTGAAGATGAATTAAAGTATAAATTCAATAAAACCTCTTGATGCCTGTGTGCTAACTGTATGGAATGCCATTTTGTTTTGGTATTTTTACTTCAATATTTTGTTAATTCTGATTGCAAAAATAACACACAGTATTCTGAGAAGCTTGTAGTTACTGGCATCTGATTAATTTTTCTTGTAAATGGGGTGTGACTGGCCAATTTAAGCTCATCTGTCATTATTAGAAAAGATGGGTAAGTGATTATACTGCATAGGTTACTGGTGCTTTGTGTCTAGGGGTTGAGCTGGAATATTATAAAAGTTTTGTGTTTTTAGTCAGGGTTTAATTTATTTTATTCTCTAGGTAAAAATTTGTGACGTCTTAAAATTACTTGGATTTTATACCATAGATGTTTGATGTAACTAGCAATTTGCTAGTTAATGAGGAAACTATTATAGTACAATTACAGCATCAATTGCTGCATCATAGTATATGTACTCATTAATATTCTCTTTGTTGTTCTTGAATTTTTTCCAATTGTATAGGGTTTCTGGGAGTTAAATTGCCTTAGGCACTTTATTACCTATCCTGTAGGCAGTAGTTAAAAGTTTACAAAAGCACTAGCAGTTTTTATATTTTACACATTACTGTTTTTTGTAACGCCTAAATGGTGCTACAGGTAATAATTGCAAGGAAAAATTCCCTTCAGGTGTTTTGTGCTCCAAAGGATTAGGCATTGAAAATGCAGTATCGAAAGATAACCTTCCTTGTAGATCTTTGCAATTAAAAATTCACATTAGTGAAGCTTGGGTTGCAAATGCTGCAGCAAGGAAGTGGCTGGAGGGAAGGGAGATGTCCTGTCTAAGGGCAATGTGTGGTGTAAATATTATACAGAAAATTCGGAGTGTGGAAATTAGGAGGATGTGTGGCGTTAATAAAAGTATTAGTCAGAGGGCTGCAGAGGGGTTGTTGAGGTGGTTTGGTCGTTTAGAGAGAATGGATCAAAGTAGAATAACTTGGAGAGCATATAAATCTGTAGGGGAAGGAAGGCGGGGTAGGGGTCATCCTCAGAAAGGTTGGAGGGAGGGGGGTAAAGGTTTTGCGGGTGAGGGGCTTGGACTTCCAGCAAGCATGTGTGAGCGTGTTAGGAGTGAATGGAGACGAATGGTTTTTGGGACCTGACGAGCTGGTGGAGTGTGAGCAGGGTAATATTTAGTGAAGGGATTCAGGGAAACTGGTTATTTTATATAGCCAGACTTGAGTACTGGAAATAGGAAGTACAATGCCTACACTTTAAAAGAGGGGTTTGGGATATTGGCAGTTTAGAGGGGTATGTTATATATGCTTCTAAACTGTTACATCTGGGTGCCTCTGCAAAGACAGTGATTGTGTGAGTGCGGTGAAAGTGATGAATGATGAAAGTATTTTCTTTTTGGGGATTTTCTTTCTTTTTGGGTCACCCTGCCTCGGTGGGAGACGGCTGACTTGTTGAAAAAAAAAAAATGGTGAACTGTATATACTGACTGCATTATTAAGTAAACTGGTATTTCCTTGCCTCTCCCCATAAACTGCCAAACTACTTCAAAAATAATGTGTAAATAGTAAGGATTTTCAGTGGGGGATGGACCTACACTTGCATGGACACAGTTTATACATGCAATGCACCAATGATAATCATGGGATTCACTGTTTCCAGTGACTGGAATTTATAATGTGTTCATAAAATGATCAGCATTTCTTTGCTATAATAGATATAAGTGAAAAGACTTTGGGGGGCCCTCCCCTTTTCTTTTTTTTTTATACTATTATCCTGGTCAACCCATATTTTAATTATCTTTATGGTAGATATACTGTGCTGTACAACAGTATTTTAAATGTCATTAATGTGGAAACTTATAAACATTGTATCGAAAACTAACTACGTAGCTATTTATAATTGTCTGAAATTTTATGATTTCTCACATTAAGGGCTGGTTTGTAGCTTCAATAGAAACTGTATTGTACCAAAACAAAACCATTCACTTTGCTAAATTTACAAACTGTAATGCAGTTACTTAGCCTTAATACCAACATGCTCCTTAATCTGTACCAGTATAGTTTTGAATTAATTTTAGCCTGCCCGAAATGCCTAGTCATGCTAGGTGTGATAGTGGCCCTCTGTAATTAATTTTATATAATATATAAACCACACAATATCCTATAATATGTAAACCCCACATTGTAATCTTTATAGAGAATAAACTTGATTTGATTTGATCATACTATATTATCTAATTTAATCTTGGTGGTGTATCCAGTTAGAAGATAGCATATTGGAAAAGTTTTGTAATGAACTCACTCTCTCAACACACCGGCCATATCCCACCGAGGTGGGGTGGCCCAAAAGGAAAAATGAAAGTTTCTCCTTTTACATTTAGTAATATATACAGAAGGGGTTACTAGCCCCTTGCTCCTGGCATTTTAGTCGCCTCTTACAACACGCATGGCTTACGGAGGAAGAATTCTGTTCCACTTCCCCATGGAGGTAAGAGGAAATAAAAAAGAACAAGAACTAGAAAGAAAATAGAAGAAAATCCAGAGGGGTGTGTGTATATATATGCTTGTACATGTATGTGTAGTGTGACCTAAGTGCAAGTAGTAGTAGCAGCAAGACATACCTGAAATCTTGCACGTTTGAGACAGACAAAAGACACCAGCAATCCTACCATCATGTAAAACAATTACAGGCTTTCGTTGTACACTCGCTTGGCAGGACGGTAGTACCTCCCTGGGCGGTTGCTGTTTACCAACCTACTACCTAGGTTGTAATGAACATTATGGCAAAAGATGCTTACAAATATTAAACAAAAAAAAAAAAAATTGCAAAAATGTACATAATTGTTACATTATCCATTTCATATATAAAAAAAAATTGTACATATGGTTAGCCGTTTTTCTGTTTTAAAACTTGTTTTGCTTATTTCAGTTGCATGGCTTAAAACCTGAGACCTGGTCACCCGTTGCTGCATGTTCTGCTTTGCATGCTGACTCTGCTGCCACTGCCTTTTCTTCACCTTTCTTGCTTTCTCACACTTGGAAATTTGATATAAGTATGGAAGAAAACTTTAGCAAAGATTCTTTTAACTGTGAACCAGTATTTGAAAAGGATGAATTGGCCTGTGAAAAGTACAGTATAAATGATGTTAAAATTAATTCACATGATAGTGTGACACGGCATAATAAGCTCAACTGCAATGCCTACCAAGAAAACTCTAGTAAGAAAAGAACATTAAATCCAAATAATACACTTGACTTTCATGGAGTGAAGAGCTTGAAGCAGTCGTATTGTGGAAAGCCTTCAAGAAAAGAAAGCCTCAAACAGATGGGTAATCCCATATCTAAGAAATGGCTAGCTTTAAGTGACAGTGCTGTGCTAGGAAAAAACTGTGGCAGTTTGAACAGTATACAATGTTTTTCATTAGAAAAAAGCAGTTTAGAATCACACATGCATGGTAATGTTACAGTGTTTGGCACTAATATCTCCCCAGATTCTGAACAGTATCAAAGTGAAGGGAGAAGTACACCAAATCAAAGCTGTAATGAAAATAGCACTTCTGACTCCTTGGAAAGAGACCTGAAACAAAGTAGATGGCAACTATCAAGGAAAGAGCTTGATGCTCCTGCCTCTCGACATAGGGTTCATAATGACAGATTGGTTGGTTCAGTGAATTTACCACAAAAGTTACCAAGAGATGTGGAATTGTGTACTACAGAGATTAGTAATGATAGTAAAACATCAAATATGTACTTAAATGATAAAGGTAATGTAAATGAAGTAATTAAAGATTATGAATTATTAACAAAAGAAAATTATACTAATAAATCTTACACAAATGTTTGGTTGCATGATGAAGTGTTTAATTACATTGAAAAGGAATTAAAAAATATGGAAGGCAATCATAACACAGTTAAGAGGAATCGAATATGTAAAGTAATTAAAGATTATGAATCTTCAACAAAAGAAAATTATACTAATAAATCTTACACAAATGTGTGGTTGCATGATGAAGTGTTTAATTACATTGAAAAGGAATTAAAAAATATGGAAGGTAATCATAATGCAGTTAAGAGGAATCAAATCTCTGAGGAAGTGTTTCACTTTATTGAAATGGAATCAAAACAGTTAGAATCTGAAGCAAGCCATAGCAGTAACTTTACACATGAAAAATTATCTGGTTGTGAAGAGATGTTGAGAACACCTGAAGCTAAGACTTCATCTTCTCTTGTATTTAGAGAAAAAGAACAGGTGTACTTAGACTGTGGTAATAAAAATGATTCTCGTTTCAATTGCTGTATATATAGCTCAGGTGATGAGGAATGCTCCATGTCCTTTAAAGAACGTGTGACTGAACAGACCAGTATTGAAAATGGAGAGAAAATGGTAATAGTAATGAAAAGATGTTATGCCAGAGGCATCTTGATCAACCACCTACTAATTTAAAGCACTGTAAAGCCAATCTTAGGAAAACCTCTACAAATATTAATAAATACATGTACATTACTTCATCTCCTAAGTTAGAAATGTTAACTGTTAATAAGTGTGTTAATTGTGAAAGCCAGACTTTACAAGCATTGAGAACTTGCTCTTCTAATGCATCAACAGCCGAAGATAATGACTTGATGGAGCTGGATAATAGCATATTTAATGATCTTTATTCTAGGAAAATTTTCAGAACGACAAAACAACAACACAGATTAAACCAGAATAAAAGCAAAAGGAAAAATAGAACGTGTAAAGGAAGAAAATCTAAGAACAATAAAAAATACATTGCTTACAAAATGAGCAATGGAAAGATAAGCAAGACTAATATATTTCAGAAAACTAAGAAGCAGAGGCCTTTCAGTTTGGGTTCCTATAATGCTTACTACCCCATTTCACAAAGTGAATGGAGTATGAAGCCTTTTTTAAAAGTAGACAATGTATTACATGATGTGATGAGCAACAGTCAGAGTGACAAGTCAGAAATATTTTCAAAGGAAACTGGTAAAGCAGTTTTTACAAGCACTTGGAGATGTAAATCACCATCTTCAGTCTTGGGCAGTTATTTGTTTCCCGAGACCTCAAGATACAATCAATCATCTCGGTTTATTCAGTTGTGCAACAGTGGAAGCAGACAGTTTCAAGTTGGTACTTGGGACAAAAAAATTCCTAAAAAGTCAAGTGGCAATGAAATTGATAGCATGGAAATTTCGCAGATTGAGATAAAAAACAGTCATTGCTTGTTAAGTATAAATCCTTTCATGTATTCCATTTCGAATCTTCAAAAAAATTTGTGGACATACCCTTTATCTGCCTCTAAAAATAATTTACCCAAGTCTGCTAATTGTGATCAGAATTGTCAGCCAGAACACCCCAGAGTAACACTAGCAATACCATGGCAGCATTTGTATTTTAGTATGCTACCTTCCTCCGATATTAACACTATATATAGTGTGCACTCTGTCTTGCATGGTGATAGCTCTCCTTGGTTACCATCTGTATCAAAGCCAAAATTTAGTCTGGTATTCCCAAGCTCTAGTAAGTATTCATGTACTTCACACTCCAGTTTTGGTAATAGAATAAAATGTTTGACATCTTCTAGGTCCACAAATTTGCCAGACTGCAGTGTTTGTGCCAAAGGACTGACTTCACAGCAGAATCCAGAAGACTTTCCCAAAAGAAATGTAATTAATGATCATGTTAAATATGAAAATAACTGTATTACAGTTAAAACCCTGGGCACCGAAAGTAATACTGGGCACAACGTTAGCTCAAAAAAAACCACAGCAGATGAATTAAACAGTGAAAGAAATGTGCGAGAAATAAAATTCCAAACTACTAGAGCTCAAAGGATGACACAGTCTGAAGAGATTTGTGATACAGTTGCCAAGCCCATTAGTATCCCCATCAGCACAAGAACTAGAGGAAATACAAAAAGAACTGAAAACCTAGAGGGGCTTTTGTGTAAGCTTGATGACATTCCTAATGAACAAATGACAAATATTCAAAGGCTAGTTCAGGTAAGGACTCATCCATTTGCAGAGGAATGTAAACCTAATGTATTTGTCATTAAAGTTTGTGGGCAAGAGTATCCTTTTACAAATGAGGCTTTGAAACCTAGTACAAACATCTGTACTAACATGATCGATGATGTGTCTTTTCCAGCTTCATCTGTCCTGAAATTTGAGCATAGTAAATTATCTTCTAGTCAGAGTGGTTGTAAATGTGAAATGTCTTCATTTTCACTGGACCACAAATTGAACAGTATTACCCAAGAGGTTACCTGCATGAATAAAAGTGAATTTAGTTGTCTAAAGCAACATAAGGCAGTTAATGACAACATTCCTGCAAACACAGTCAAAAATCAAAATCATGATTCAGTATCTAATGAAAAAGAGCAAAATCTGGCAGAAGACAAGGTTAACACATTAGTTTTGGCCAGCAAGCATTATAATCTTATTCCATTAGTTAGGACTGAGGTTCAAGGTGGCAATAATAAAGAAAGTACATTAGGTACAGATACTGTTAAGACTTTGTCATCAATTGTTATGAAAGAAGCCTCAAAGTGGAAGGTCCAGATGTACCATCCATACATTCTTCCCAAGAAAAGACAGTTAGGAATGTTTAGAATAGCAAAGATACAGGAATTGGATAATAAAGATGAAATGCTAATAAACCTTTCTCCATACTTTGATATTTCAGAAAGTGCAGTGTCTAATAAAAATGAAGATGATTACCTTTCAGAAAGATTAAGTTTTAATAAATATGAAAATTGTTACAATAAGAAACTCAATGTTGCATATTCTGATATAAAATGTTTTCGTGGAAATGAAATAATGAAAGGTGTGTATCCCTTTGCACAATCACTAAAGCATTGTCAGTTGGGCACCATCGAACTTTCAGAATTAGAAAGTCAGAGAGAAAATGAAATTGGCATGAGGATTGATAGACAAACAAAGGATGCAGACCAAGACACTGTAAAGATGTTATTCCAAGACATAATAGAAGTTGAGAAGTCTACAGTGAAGCTTGCTGCTCCTAAAGAGGAAACTTCAGTAAAAGACCCATTAATTAATCAATGTAATATGAATAAATTACTTGTAAGCCCAAATTTTATACCTGTGCAATCAAAAAAAGAATCTAGTCTATCTGGTTTGCAAGAGTTTGGTAAAAAGTCAGTAGAGCCCCAGGGATTTCTAAGAAAATCAAGTCTAGTTAGAGAGTCATCCTGGTTGGAAAAAGTTTCAAAGAATGAGAGTTGCAGCTTCAAGAACACTGATAATCTTACCTTAACTAAAATAGAAACCATCCCTGGTTCACTTTGCAATCAGCAGAAACAACACACACTTATGCCAACTGAATCCATTTGGTCAGGTACTAGTCAGTCAGAATCAAGATCAATTGATAACTTGTCACCATCCTCAGTTGTTAAGCAAGGTGCTCACTTTAAGATCATTCATAAAATTGCTCCTTGTATCCTACGCCCAAACCACTGCAAGGGCCAGTCTCCAAGAGATTGTGTCCAGCGTAGGGCCAGTAAAAGAAAACCAAAAAGTTTTTTTGTCAGGCACATTTCTCAAAGGAAACAGAAATTGAATGATACGTGCTCAAGTTTTTCCCAGTTAATGCTGAATGACAGTGTCCAATACATTGATTTAGTTTCTTTACCTTATAAAAAAGAGCTGTTGCCATTGTCAAATCCTGATGATCCTCCAATAAAAATCATTAATGTAAAAAATCAAGGCATCAGTGATGTTTCTTTGTCAGATGATGAGGAACCTGCAGTGTTGCCGAATTTCTTTGATATTTCTCGTAATTATGTACCTAATAATAATATTACCATAAATAATATGAAAGATATTCAGTATGGTACAAACACAGCAGATACAGATGAATCTTTTATTGTTTCTGAATCTTCTGTATCAGTCACTGGCAATCCTCCTCCTCCTCCTCCTCCTGCCTTGCCAGAATCTTGTACATTCATAACTGCAATGACAAATAGTTTAAAAATTAGAGATAACTTTGATGGATGCAAACATACAAATGTGATGCAAGGGAAAGTAAATCATATACAAAGTACTAATGTATTTAGTATAAAGGATGAAGGTATTGTAGGCAGAGAACAAAATTTGCAAAATGAAGACCTATTCTCAGAATTTGAGAGGCAATCAGAACCTGCATTTCAAGAAACTGATCAAATGCCTTTTGACCATTTTTCCAGTGGTCTTCAAAATAATTTGAGTGTAGTAATTGCCAAGGAAATTGCCAAAGGTGATGGTGGCCAAAATTTGAATTGGTTATCGTCTAGTGAATTGACACCGAATACTACAAATAATTCTTTAATTTATAAAACCTTTACTTCACAAGAACATGTATACCCAAGAAAAGATATTAAGAAAAAAAAAATTTCACGTTCCAGTGATATTGAAGAAAATGATATGACTTCATTATCACAAAAGAATTGTGCATTAGAGTATTCTGAAAATAATTATTGTAACACTTCTTCGATGAATAACTTTTATAATAAGAAAAGGAAATTCCAAACAGAAGAGAGTCTAAAGACAGATAAAATAAAGTTTGAGGATAGAGAACTGTTAAATAAGCTCCAGCCAGAAAATATTGTAAATCCTCTAGATTGTAAGTCATCTCCTATATTAACTGTATCTTCAGAAGCACAATTTGGAAGTCTCACTTTTACAAAAAATACTGAGGAGCAAGATATTTTAGATATAGCTCTCAGAACCGATCTTTATGATGTGATTACACTTGGCAGTGGAACCATGTATACATGGCCACAAATTGAAGAGTCTGCTGAGCATGTGCCATCTGCTCAACACACGAGCTCTCCAGACAAGAGAGAGGCAATGGCAAATACAGATGTTTTCGGAAATTTAAACTTTGAAGAAAAGGAAAAGCTATACTTCCAAGAACCGACTAATGGGGTTTCAACACACGAGAGTAAGTAACTTCACATGAAAGCAATGCAGGAGTTGCTGTCTTGGATATGTTAGATGAATGTTCCAAAAGTGTAGGAAGTACATACATTCTCAGTGACAGCAATTCCAGTGAGTTTTTAAATACCTGCAGTACTCACAGTGGCAGTGCAACTGAAGATGAGACAGAGGGACTAAAAGATGAGAGAGAGAATTCCTCTACAAGCTCATTAGATTCACTGGTGAGTTAAGAAACAGTTTGTACCAATTTTATTGCAAGAACATCAGAGCTGTAAGACACCTTGACATTATATTAGGGAGCCATATTTTTACTTTGGCATGTTTTTCCAGATCCTTTAAACGAGTTCTATTCAGTAATTATTTCAAATCTGACTTGAGATTAAGTGTAATTACCTTACTTTTCTAGGAGAATTTACAGTGCCTATTAACATTGTGTGTAAAATTTGTTAACAATATTTTGTATTTTTTAATATTTTTTGTACCTAATGGTTGGTTTTTCTTTAGTTTTTGCAATACTCTTAGCTTTTGATACAGCTCTGTTGTCTGTCTTACATTTTAGGCACAGCATACCTTTCCATGTAAGGTTGTACATTCTTACTGTACTATTTACATATGTCCTCTTTTGACTTTGGAGCATTCTATAATGGTGGGGAGGTTTAACAGTGATGATGCCACTCTTCGAGTGTGACTTAATTATTCTTGATTTTGAACACATTAAGAATATGGTTTGAACTGTGAGCTTCACTTTTTTTATTATTTTGTGATTGTTACATATCTATTTATGAAATGATAATGGTAGCTATAAATGGTATTGATAGTATAATAGCAGTGTTGTGTTAGCTGAAAAAGTCACACTGGGAATGAATTATTAATGTTAACTATTTTAGAAATTGTAAATACTCATACCTATTATTATTAATTATTAATTATTATATATTATATATTATTTATTTATTATTTATTATTTATTTATTTATTTATTTATTTATTTATTTATTTATTTATTTATTTATTTATTAATTATTATTAATTATTTATTATTATTATTTATTATTAATTATTATTTATTATTATTTATTATTATTATTATTATATACAGCCATGGTTCTTTATAACTTGTACACTTAAATTCTACCTATCTTTCCTTGGCTTCATGTCATTTTTGTTATTCCTTCTACGTTTACTATTTAGCTTTGTAAGTAGCCTGATAGAATAAAATAAATACTTGTTTGATATGATGATGATTATTGTGGTGCAGAGGCAGAAATTTACCACAGCTCAGTACAAAGAATTTAGTTATTTGACATCACATATTTTAGGTAATTTCTTCACATCTAGTGATATATTACCGAGATATATATATATATTTATATATTTATATATTTATATTTTAAGAAAAAGAGGATAAACAAGTATACAAGATATGATGTAGGGCAAAATGACAGTAGTTTGTTGGATTATGTATTGGTAGATAAAAGACTGTTGAGTAGACTTCAGGATGTACATGTTTATAGAGGGGCCACAGATATATCAGATTACTTTCTAGTTGTAGCTACACTGAGAGTAAAAGTTAGATGGGATACAAGGAGAATAGAAGCATCAGGGAAGAGAGTAGTGAGGGTTTATAAACTAAAAGAGGAGGCAGTTAGGGTAAGATATAAACAGCTATTGGAGGATAGATGGGCTAATGAGAGCATAGGCAATGGGGTCAGAGGTATGGGGTAGGTTTAAAAATGTAGTGTTAGTGTGTTCAGCAGAAGTTTGTGGTTACAGGAAAGTGGGTGAGGGAGGGAAGAGGGGCGATTGGTGGAATGATGATGTAAAGAGTAGTAAGGGAGAAAAAGTTAGCATATGAGAAGTTTTTACAAAGTAGAAGTGATGCAAGGAGGGAAGAGTATATGGAGAAAGAGAGAGAGGTTAAGAGAGTGGTGAAGCAGTGTAAAAAGAGAGCAAATGAGAGAGTGGGTGAGATGTTATCAACAAATTTTGCTGAAAATAAGAAAGTTTTGGAGTGAGATTAACAAGTTAAGGAAGCCTAGAGAACAAATGGATTTGTCAGTTAAAAATAGGAGAGGAGAGTTATTAAATGGAGAGTTAGAGGTATTGGGAAGATGGAGGGAATATTTTGAGGAATTGTTAAATGTTGATGAAGTTAGGGAAGCTGTGATTTCGTGTATAGGGCAAGGAGGAATAACATCTTGTAGGAGTGAGGAAGAGCCAGTTGTGAGTGTGGGGGAAGTTCGTGAGGCAGTAGGTAAAATGAAAGGGGGTAAGGCAGCCGGGATTGATGGGATAAAGATAGAAATGTTAAAAGCAGGTGGGGATATAGTTTTGGAGTGGTTGGTGCAATTATTTAATAAATGTATGGAAGAGGGTAAGGTACCTAGGGATTGGCAGAGAGCATGCATAGTTCCTTTGTATAAAGGCAAAGGGGACAAAAGAGAGTGCAAAAATTATAGGGGGATAAGTCTGTTGAGTGTAGGTAGTAGGTTGGTAGACAGCAGCCGTCCAGGGAGGTACTACCGTCCTGCCAAGCGAGTGTAAAACGAAAGCCTGTAATTGTTTTACATGATGGTAGGATTGCTGGTGTCTTTTGTCTGTCTCATAAATATGCAAGATTACAGGTAAGTCTTGCTACTTCTACTTACACTTAGGTCACACTACACATGCATGTACAAGCATATATATACACACCCCTCTGGGTTTTCTTCTATTTTCTTTCTAATTCTTGTTCTTGTTTATTTCCTCTTATCTCCATGGGGAAGTGGAACAGAATTCTTCCTCTGTAAGCCATGCGTGTCGTAAGAGGCGACTAAAATGCCGGGAGCAAGGGGCTAGTAACCCCTTCTCCTGTATATATTACTAAATTTAAAAGGAGAAACTTTAGTTTTTTCTTTTGGGCCACCCCACCTCGGTGGGATACGGCTGGTATGTTGAAAGAAAGAAGTAAGTCTGTTGAGTATACCTGGTGAAGTGTATGGTAGTTATTATTGAAAGAATTAAGAGTAAGATGGAAAATAGGATAGCAGATGAACAAGGAGGCTTTAGGAAAGGTAGGGGGTGTGTGGACCAGGTGTTTACAGTGAAACATATAAGTGAACAGTATTTAGATAAGGCTAAAGAGGTCTTTGTGGCATTTATGGATTTGGAAAAGGCGTATAACAGGGTGGATAGGGGGGGGGGGAATGTGGCAGATGTTGCAGGTGTATGGTGTAGGAGGTAGTTACTGAAAGCAGTGAAGAGTTTTTACGAGGATAGTGAGGCTCAAGTTAGAGTATGTAGGAAAGAGGGAAATTATTTCCCAGGAAAAGTAGGCCTTAGACAAGGATGTGTGATGTCACCGTGGTTGTTAAATATATTTATAGATGAGGTTGTAAGAGAAGTAAATGCGAGGGTCTTGGCAAGAGGCGTGGAGTTAAAAGATAATCACACATAAAGTGGGAGTTGTCACAGTTGCTCTTTGCTGATGACACTGTGCTCTTGGGAGAGTCTGAAGAGAAGTTGCAGAGATTGGTGGATGAATTTGGTAGGGTATGCAAAAGAAGAAAATTAAAAGTGAATACAGGAAAGAGTAAGGTTATGAGGATAAAAAGATTAGGTGATGAAAGATTGGATATCAGATTGGAGGGAGAGAGTATGGAGGAGGTGAATGTATTCAGATATTTGGGAGTGGACGTGTCAGCGGATGGGTCTATGAAAGACGAGGTGAATCGTAGAATTGATGAGGGGAAAAGGGTGAGTGGTGCACTTAGGAGTCTGTGGAGACAAAGAACTTTGTCCTTGGAGGCAAAGAGGGGAATGTATGAGAGTATAGTTTTACCAACGCTCTTATATGGGTGTGAAGCATGGGTGATGAATGTTGCAGCGAGGAGAAGGCTGGAGGCAGTGGAGATGTCATGTCTGAGGGCAATGTGTGGTGTGAATATAATGCAGAGAATTCGTAGTTTGGAAAGTTAGAATTCAAATAAATTAATTATTTAAACTTTACCTGGTTAAGTTATTTCTACTCTTCCACTAAAGTACAAATCAGGGAAAGTCATCTTATTTGACTTAATTTAGGTTAAGGCTACAGCAAATCACCCGAAGTCAGCAACCTGACAAAGAACGGCTATACAAATGATCAGTTTAGTGCTAGGCAACACAATCCTTTCTTCAAAACCTTAATATACATAGAATTAATCCTGCCCTAAAACTTTCTTGATAGTTGCAGTAAAACAGAAAATGTGTATATTTTTTTATTAAATACATTGGCCATTTCCCACCAAGGCAGGGTGACACCCCCCCCCCCCCACAAAAAAAAAAAAAAAAAAAAATCATTTACTCTATCACCCAAATGGAAATAGGCATGTCTTTTTTGGGTTACCCTAGTTCTGTACACATATGCTACTATGTATGATAATCTATGTAACTGTACATCCTCTCCTTACTTAATGATTGAGTTTCGTTCCTAAGACCATATTGGTAAACTAATTCGTCGCTAAGCAGGGAGCGTACTGTAATGGTAGTGGGTTTGTGTCAACCATATTTAATATTGTTTTAATGTATATTCTACTATAGGATCAAAACTAGCAAGCAAAATCCTAAAAGTAAATACTCGGCCACAAGACTACCTCACTGGTAATTACACACATTTTATACATTTATAGCACCAACAAATCCTACTGAAGTCTCACTAATAATTAAATCATTGTAAAGGCAGGAGACCTAAATAACTTTCCACCAATTATGTATAAAAAAGCAGCTCATATGCTGTCTCCCATTATTGCAACACTAACAAATCTGTTGAATCTTCAACATTACCATCCATACTCAAGACAGCAAGGGTCATCCTGATCCTTAAAGGAGCAGTCCTACAGAACTAAATAACTACAGACCAAAATCTAACTTTCCTTTGCTCTCTAAAGTCTTTGAAAAAAAAATACATCAACAAATCTACTCCTACCTCCTATCCCATAACATGCTGAACCCCTGACAGTTTGGGTTTAGGCAGAAAAAAAAGCACAATTGATTGTTATTCAGATGTTCAAATCACTGTACTCTACAGCAATTGGGGAAAAAAAAATTAATATCCTCTGGGGCTCTTCATAGATCTATGGAAACCATTTGATACAGTAGACCACAATATCTTACACCAAAAACTAGAGCATTACAGGGTCAGAGGACACACTCAATTACATAAAATCCTATCTTAGTGGTAGACACCAGTATGTATACACAAATGGCATGACCTCCAATACTCACCCTGTAGTTGTTGGAGTGCCACGGGAAAGAGTCCTAGGTCTCTACTCTCTTATTTACACCAATGACCTCCCAAATGCATCGCGACTCCTTAAGCTAGTTCTGTTCGCAAACGACACCACTTATGTCTTCTCCCACCCAAACCCAGCTATACTTAGTAACACAGTAAACAGCGAGCTACATAAAATATCAAACTGAATGGCAACCAACAAACTTACTCTCAATATAGACAAAACCTACTTCATGTTTTTTGGAAACAGAGCATTAAATATCCAGCTAAACACATCGATAAATGGTTTACCCCTTTACAAGCACACAGGGTAATTTCTAGGTCTCCCGTTGATTTAATCAAAATTTTCAGACCCACATCTGCATATAAAAAGGGAATTTTCCCAAAAACAGTAGGTTCCCTTTTCCAAGATATGATACTGGTACCCAAAAGGGTGCCCCTTCTTTAATCACTTTTTTTATGTATACCCTTACCCCTCACCTATGGTTTTTGGGGTTTTGAGGATCTACCCGGTTTAAAACCTCTTAAAAACCCCCAAAAAAAAGCGGCGGCGTGGATGATCACAAACCCCACCAGACAAACACCCCCCCACTCTTCAAAACTTGAACTTACTTAATAAAAAAATTACACGCTTTTTTTTGCACCTAATACATTAAGAACATTAAATCCAATATCAACCCTCCATCAAACTTATCCAAACGCTTCAAAAAACACGGGATAACCGAGGCCAAATCCTTTGACACCCCTCGTGTCTGTCTCTCGCTATGCAAAAATGCATGCACATCAGGGACTGAAGATCTAGAACTCTTTGCCCGAAACGCAAAGGGGTTTCCCTTGCCCAAATAATTTAGGATGCTCAAAATCATCTCGTCTCTCATAACGCCAACCTACACTATGCTAAACTCTCAACCAAATTTAAATGTTGTGTCATTAATGTTACTACTCATTATTCATAAGCAATGTGAATATTTTTCTACCACTCTGCCCTGCCTAGTATCTTTAGTATTAGGTTAAGTCTGCCCGAAATGCCTCAGCATGATGATGGCTTTCTTTGTACCAATCAAATTATGAAATGTAAACACACATTGTAATCTTAATAAAAAATAAAATTTTGATTTTGAACTTTGCAATTTCTGTGTGGTATGATTGTACTTCAGCTGCCTCTGTCTTGATTGTTGTCAGTGTTGAGAGACCAACTTAAAAAAAAGAAAAAAAAATGACAATTACTACTTGGTTTTTTACTTATAACTTTTGGAAGACTAATAAGAGGATATTTTTTAAATGTGTTTTAAAATATTTATTAATTTGAATATTGTCTTCAGACTCATGCTGACCAACTTCCATTTCGTTGTGAATTTTGTGGACGTCTGTTCAAGCACAAGCGCTCCAGAGACAGACATGTTAAACTTCACACAGGTGACAAGAAGTACAAGTGCTGTCATTGTGAGGCTGCTTTTTCCCGGAGGTAGGTTTGTCTCTAAGGATAAGTTATAGTACTGTGATGCCTAACTTATTTTGACCTTAATTTATCTGACAGTTAGTCTTTAGAGTAGCCTTGTCTGGGATAGGAAGGATACAACTTGTGTTTTTTTTTTTTTTTTTTTTTTTTTTTAAGTTCACTGTGCTCATGCTTTTCCAATAAATACTCTATCACCAAACTTTTTTTTTGTACTTCAGAATGAGTGTAAAATTATCCAAAATAAATGGGAGTACAATATATAAATGCAGCAACTCTAAACACATGGGCAAGCACCAGAGGAACAAAATATACATTTATTTAAAGTGGCTAATCATTAAACCTATCATAATGCATCAAAAGGCTGCCATAAGAATAATCACTATCAGAGCCCAGACGATATGCCTGTTATACAAAGTTTAAAGCTACTTGACTTGCCGGACATCCACATGTACATATGATAGTTTTTGTGCTACGAGTGTAGTTTACATATAATAAAAGAATGGTAAGCACAGAAGAAACTCAAGAATTATGCAGTGCATTTTGGGCAGCTAATCATAAGGCTTAAATATTACTTAAGAACTTGACATACTCTTAAGTAGGATTTCTTGTGCACTTAATTACAAAGTGCAACAAGAAGCACAGCTAATGACAAATAGTCGGTTACAAAAGATTCAATGATTTTCAGTTTTGTGGAGTGATTAAATAGAGATGATATAGCAAGTTGCTTAGTTACAACAGAAGTACAATGGGACAAGATGTTACTAATTTTGTATGGGAGTTGGAGGAAGGCTTGAAGAACAGGGACAGAATTGGAGGAAAGCTGGTTTTATTTGGCATAGTGTACTCTCCTAATTGTGGTTGCAGGGGTCGATACTCGGCTCCTGGCCCCGCCTCTTCACTGAACGATACTAGGTCCCCTCTCTCCCTGCTCCATGAGCTTTATCATACCTCGTCTTAAAGCTATGTATGGTTCCTGCCTCCACTACATCACTTGCTAGACTATTCCACTTCCTGACTACTCTGACTGAAGAAATACTTCCTAACATCCCTTTGACTCATCTGAGTCTTCAACTTCCAAGTGTGACCCCTTGTTTCTGTGTCCCCTCTCTGGAACATCCTGTCTGTCCACCTTGTCTATTCCACACAGTATTTAGTATGTCATTATCATGTCTCTTGTAACCCTCCTGTCCTCCAGTATCGTCAGGCCGATTTCCCTTAACCTTGTCGCAAACCTTTGCACTTTCTCTAATTTCTTGACGTGCTTGACCCGGTGTGGGTTTCAAACTGGTGCTGCATACTCCAGTATGGGCCTGACGTACACGGTGTAGTGTCTTGAATGATTCCTTACTGAGGTATCAGAATGCTATTTTCAGGTTTGCCAGGTGCCCATATGCTGCAGCAGTTATCTGGTTGATGTGTGCTTCTGAAGATGTGCTCAGTGTTATACTCGTCCCAAGATCTTTCTCCTTGAGCGAGGTTTGCAGTCTTTGGCCACCTAGCCTATACTCTGTCTTCCTTGCCCTTCCCCAGTCTTCATGACTTTGCATTTGGTGGGGTTAAATTCTAAGGGAGACTGGGCAAGGGTCACTCTAAAAGAGGTTGGAGGGAGGGGGTAATGGAGGTTTTGTATGTGAGGAGCTTGAACATTTAGCAGGTGTGAGAGAGCATGTTAGATAGGATTAGATTTTTAGATTTTGCCACCGAAGTGGCTAGTTTATTGTGCACCCCTTATCCATCCTGTAGACAGTAGTGCAAGAGCATATGGATACACAAGAGGCCTAGGAACTAGGCCCAAAAGAGTTAACAGGTGTACATATGGGTTTATATCTACATATCTACAGAGGAGGTGAACGTATTCAGATATTTGGGAGTGGACGTGTCAGCGGATGGGTCTATGAAAGATGAGGTGAATCATAGAATTGATGAGGGAAAAAGAGTGAGTGGTGCACTTAGGAGTCTGTGGAGACAAAGAACTTTGTCCTTGGAGGCAAAGAGGGGAATGTATGAGAGTATAGTTTTACCAACGCTCTTATATGGGTGTGAAGCGTGGGTGATGAATGTTGCAGCGAGGAGAAGGCTGGAGGCAGTGGAGATGTCATGTCTGAGGGCAATGTGTGGTGTGAATATAATGCAGAGAATTCGTAGTTTGGAAGTTAGGAGGAGGTGCGGGATTACCAAAACTGTTGTCCAGAGGGCTGAGGAAGGGTTGTTGAGGTGGTTCGGACATGTAGAGAGAATGGAGCGAAACAGAATGACTTCAAGAGTGTATCAGTCTGTAGTGGAAGGAAGGCGGGGTAGGGGTCGGCCTAGGAAGGGTTGGAGGGAGGGGGTAAAGGAGGTTTTGTGTGCGAGGGGCTTGGACTTCCAGCAGGCATGCTTGAGCGTGTTTGATAGGAGTGAATGGAGACAAATGGTTTTTAATACTTGACGTGCTGTTGGAGTGTGAGCAAAGTAACATTTATGAAGGGATTCAGGGAAACCGGCAGGCCGGACTTGAGTCCTGGAGATGGGAAGTACAGTGCCTGCACTCTGAAGGAGGGGTGTTAATGTTGCAGTTTAAAAACTGTAGTGTAAAGCACCCTTCTGGCAAGACAGTGATGGAGTGAATGATGGTGAAAGTTTTTCTTTTTCGGGCCACCCTGCCTTGGTGGGAATCGGCCGGTGTGATAATAATAAAAAAAAAAAAAAAATCTACAGTTCACTTACCTGTTGTAAGCAAATTTAGGAAATTTGCTTAGTATATCTGGTATCTTGTTTTCATTAATAAGATATCCTGGCATGTTACATAGGTTATTATACTGTCTGTCTCTGTAGTCCTCAGTAAGTGGACAATTAAGCACATAGTGTTCAAGACAGTGAACATATGCCTGATCACATAATTTGCATTTAGTTTGATGATCTGTGTCTCTCAAACTGCCAGAAGTACTTGTAACTAAGCCTAAGCCTGGTCAGTCTGTTCACATTGCATGTTGCTCCATAAACATACTTATCTACGGTCATGTTATCACAGTGGGTTATAGATCTACTCGGGCTTCTAACTGCATTCCTATAACAGTCATATTCATTATTTACTTCTATCCTAATATTATTCCTAATGCTAGACACAGATATACCAAAGTTATATTCTACATTCTTCTTCTTGGTACTCTTCTTGGCTAACATATCAACTTTATTATGGAGTAATCCAATGTGTGATGGGATCCATAGCAATTGTACATTAATCCCTTTGTCCCTGATTTTTGAGTATTTATACCTGGCTTCTCCAATGAGCATGTTGTTGGAGTCATTATATGAGTCAAGAGCCTTCAGTGACGACATAGAATCAGTAATGATGATAGTCAAGCTCAGTGTCATAGGTTAGCTTTAGCGCCATTAGGATTGCAAACAATTCAGTTTGCAGTGTAGACGCCCAGTTGTTAATTCTTATGCCTGACTTAACAAATTTATTATCATTCTTAACTAAGGAGGTAGCAACAAGAGCAGATGCAGCCCTGCCAGAAGACTCCTGTTTAGATCCATCAGTGTATATAACGTGTGATAACTTATTACTACCAGCTAGGCGAGAAATTTCTTCTTGAGCAGTTGCTTTAACAAGTGATTTAAGGAAGGGATTACTAGCAATGAGCTTCTTGGGAGGGACTTGCAGGTATGTGATATTAAATGAACACGTCTTCCATGGAGGGGTGAAATGCTCTTGTTGTCTACAGTGATACAGTTCACGCAGGTTATAAAACTTAATGCAATTGCACGTTTTCACAATCCATTTAGATCTGTTTGTATTTACTTCTAGACGGTAAGGTTGGAGACAAGTGGTTTTTATGACTGTTTTTGGAGTGTGAGCAAGCGAAGGTAGTTAGCGGGACTTGTCCTGGAGGTGGAAAGTACAGTGCCTGCACTCTGAAGGTGGGACTGGGATATTTGCAGTTTTGAGGGGCATCTGAACTGTAGTATTAGTGCACCTCTGGCAAGACAGTGATGGTGAAAGTGTTTCTTCTGTTTTGGGTCACCCTGCCTCAGTGGGAGACTGCTGGTGTGTTAAAAAAAAAAAAAAAAAAGTCACAAAAAGTGTTTACAGTAATTTGTCCCATGTATTTTGGAGTTAGTTATATTATGTTGCTTAAATACTTCTTCCTAAGCTTATCCTACATATTCTGTTTTACTAGTGACCATCTCAAGATTCACAAGAAGACGCATGATACTCAAAAACCATACCAGTGTTCTGTCTGCAATCGTGGGTACAACACTGCAGCAGCTCTGACAGCTCACATGCAAAACCACAAAGCCAAACTCACAGCACATGCTCTTAATCAATTATTGAAAGATGCTCAAGGACCAGGAGAAACCCACACTCTAACCCAGCTGTTGAGAGATACCTCTGGAGATGTGCACTCTCAGGCACTGAATCACCTCTTGAAGGATACTCAGAAAGTAAGCAGTAGCTCTGGTTCAGTCTAGAAACAAATCAATCATTATATTTTAGTATCTTAATTTATGCACATTAGAGTTAAATTTGTAAATTCCTTCCAATCCTATTTTTCTTAATTTATTACTACTACTCCATGGGGAAGTAGAGAAGAATCTTTCTGCAATAAGCCATACATGTTGTAAGAGGCGACTAAAATGCATGTATAAATTACATAATGCAAAAAAAAAAAAAAAAAAAAGTTTCTTATTTTGGGTCACTCTGCCTTTGTGGGAGATGGCTGTTAAAAAAAAAAATGATGTAAATTTTGTTTACAGGAGCAGTTATTAAGCCCACGGGGAATAGAGCTAGGAGCAGGGTCTTCTCCTGGTGACTTGACAGCCTCTCCAGTTGGGGAGCCTTCACCAACAATATCCCCACTGGCCACTGTTCGATGTCCCATCTGTCATGCACACTGTAGAAATCAAGCTCATCTACAGGTTGGTATTAAAATTTCATTCCTTTCAGTGTTGAAGATTTTATTTTTAAGATTCAAACTCTCTTATTTCATCAGGACATGCTTGAATATTAGTGAATTGGATAGGTCTGGTAATACAGATTTTATTTCTTTGCAAATGTTACAAATGTGTGATTACATTTTATAGAGAGTAGTTAACCCGTAAACGGTCCAAACGTATATATACGTTTATTCAACATTTGAAAGTATGTAAAAAAAAGTAGATCTTCTTTTTGTTTTTCTACATTTGAAAATGTGTAAAAAAAAACTTTTATCTACTTTTTTTTTTTTTTTATATTGAAAATGCAAAAAAAAAAAATAGATCTACTTTTGTAGCACTACACATGTGAACGTAGATTTGCTTGGACCGTTTACGGGTTAAGTACGAAGAAAGTTGGGCATACTAATCCTAATGCTGACAGACTACTTAAAACTAGACAGGTTAGTGATAAATTTTAATTATCCATTATTTACCTTATTATTACAGTGAGGTAGCCAAAGTTTTATAATTAAAAGATTTGTAGTAGTGTTGCAGCAGATAACAGTACAGTATTATGATTAGTACAATTTGCTGTGATAAAACAGTACAATTTTAAGTACATATTAATGTTTTAATTAAGTTAGTCATATTCTGCTCCATCCTTTTTAAGTACCTAAACCACCTTGATAACCCTTCCTCAGTCCCATTAATTAAACCTTTGGTAACTCCACATGCTTCTAATTTCCACATTTTGAATTCTCTGCATAATATTCACCTTGCACACTTCTCTCAATCATGACATCCCTGTCTCCAGCCTCCTCCTTACTGCAACATCTAAAAACCCATGTCTCACAAGCATGTAAGTGTTGGTACTCTTATACTTTGGTATGTTCCCTTTTTTTTTCTTTTCCTCCATAAGTAGGGTTGTTATTGAAAGAATTAAGAGGTAAGACAGAGTAGGATTGCAGATGAGCAAGGAGGCTTTAGAGTGGGTAGGGGATGTGTAGATCGAGTGTTTACATTGAAGCATATATGTGAACAGTATTTAGATAAAGGTAAGGAAGTTTTCATTGCAGTTATGGATTTAGAAAAGGCATATAGAGTGGATAGGGGAGCAATGTGGCGTGCTGCAAAGTTTAGAATAGGTATAAGTTATTAAAGAGTTATTTGAGGTAGTGAGGTTTAAAGTTGGGTGTGTAAAAGAGAGGGGCTATTTCCCCGGGTAAAAGTAGGTTTTGGACAGGGGATGTGAAAATGTCCCCATGGTTGTTTAATATATTTTAGATGGTTTGTAAAAGATGTAAATGTAGGGTGTTGGGAGAGGGGTGGGAAAAATTATGGGGAATCAAAACAAAATGGGAGTAGTTTTTTTTTTTGTGATCTGTGTTAGGGAGTTCTAAAGAAAATTTGAAAAGGGTTTAGTGGAGGGTTTTGGGAGGGTGAAAAGGGGTAAAAGTTGGAAGTGAAATGATAAGAGTAAGGTGATGAGGGTATCAAATGATTTAGAAAAGAAAAATTGGATGTCACTTGGAGGGGTAGGAAGAAGTGAACTTTAGGAAATTTGGGAGTTGACTTGTCAGCGGTTGGTTTAAGGATGGGGTTTAAACCATAGAATTAAATGAAGAAAAAAAGGGCGAGTGGCATTGAGGTATCTGTGGGAAAAAAAATGTTATCCATGGTGGCAAAGAAGGGAATTACAAAGTTTTGTGGTCCCCGCATTTTTATAGGGGTGTGAAGTTTGGGGTTCAAATGCTTAGCGGGGGGGCTGCGGGAGGCAGTGATGTCCTGTTAAGGGGCAAGTATGGGTAAATATTTTACAGAGAATTCAGAGTGTGGAATTTTTGGAGGGGGTGTATTAAAAAAAATAAGGTCAGGGGCTAAATAGGGGTTGGGGGTGTTTTGGGGTCATTTAGAAGAAATGGACCAACGAGAATAATTTGGGAGAGCGTAAAATCGTGGGGGGAAGGAAAGCGGGGAGGGGTTTCCCTAAAAAGGGTTGGAGGGGGGGGGTTAAAAGGGGGGTTTTTTGGGGAGGTGGTGTTAAATAGGAATGAATGAATGGAGTGAAGGTTTTGGGGACCTGAGAGCTGTTGGAGTGTGGCCGGGTAATGTTTAGTGAAGGGTTTAGGGGGAAAACCGTTATTTTTTGTAGCCGACCCGGTCCGGAAATGGGAAGGGGCATGCCTCACTTTGAAGGGGGGTTTGGGGTTTTGGCAGTTTTGGGTGGTGTTTATATCTTTATATTGCTTCTAAACGTTGTATTGGGGTGCCCCTGAAAGCATATAAAGTGTGAGTGAGGTGAAAGTGTTGAATGATGAATGTATTTTTCGTTTTGGGGGTTTTCACTTTTTGGGTCACCCCCGCCTTTGGTGGGGGATAGAGAGAAGAGAGATAGTAAGGGGTGATAGAGAGTAATAGAGAGATAGATAGAGAGATAATAGAGAGATAGATTGAGGATGATGAGAGAAGATAGGAGAAGATAGAGAGTAGATGAGAATAGGAGATAGATAGGGAATAAAGAGGATGGATAGAGAGATAGTAGGGGAAAATAGATAGAGAGATAGTAGAGGATAATAGAGAGAAGATAGAGAGATAGAAAAGAGATAGATAAGGATAGATAGAGGTGATAGGAATAATAAGAGATAGATAGAGAGATAGATAAGAGATAGATGAGAGAGATAGAGAGATAAAGAGAGAGATAGTAGAGATAGATAGAGATAGAGAGAAGATAGAGAAAAGATAGAGATAGAGATAATAGATAAAATAGAAGATAGAGAGATAGATAGAGATGATAATAGAGAGATAGTAGAGTAGTAGAGATGATAGATAGAGAGATAGATAAATATTAGAGAGAGATAGATAGAGATAGATGAGATAATGATAGAGATAATAGATAGAGAGAGATAGAGAAGTAGATAATAAGATGATAGAGATAGATAGATAGAGAAATAGAGATAGATAGTATATAGAAGAGATAGATATATAGAGATAGTAGATGATAGATGATAGAGGTAGAGATAGGGTAGAGATAGAGGGAGAGTAGAGGTAGAGATAGAGTAGAGAAAAGGGAGAGATAGAGGTAGATAGGATAGGGTAATAAAATGAGGGAGTGGATAAAGGGAATAGAGATTGAGGTAGATAGAGATGAGGGAGATAAATGATAGGGTGATAGAGTAGGGTAGATAGGATGAGGAGATAGAGATGGGTGATAGAGATAGAGGTAGATAGGATAGAGATAGGGTAAGGTAGATAGAGGTAAGGTAGATAGAGGTAGAGGTGTAGAGGGGAGGTAGATAGAATAGAGGTAGAGGTAAGGGTTTGAGGTGGGTAGATAGAGGTAGAGGTAGATAGAGGTAGAGGTAGATAGAGGTAGATAGAGGTAGAGGTAGATAGAGGTAGAGGTAGATAGAGGTAGAGGTAGATAGAGGTAGAGGTAGATAGAGGTAGAGGTAGATAGAGGTAGAGGTAGATAGAGGTAGATAGGGAGAGGTAGATAGAGGAGAGGAGTAGAGGTAGAGGTAGATAGGGTAGGGTAGTAGAGGGGGATAGAGGGGGTGTAGGGAGAGGGGAGATAGAGGTAGATAGGATAGAGATAGGGGTAGAGGGAGTAGGGTAGAGGGAGATAAGGTAGAGGGAGATAGGGTAGAGGTAGATAGAGGGGAGGTAGATAGAGGGAGGGTGATAGAGGGAGATAGAGGTGGGTAGATAGAGGGAGAGGTAGATAGAGGTAAAGGAATAGAGGAGGGTAGTAGGGAGAGGTAGATAGAGGTAGAGGTAGTAGAGGTAGAGGTAGATAGGGGTAGAGGTAGTAGAGGTAGATAGAGGTTTGAGGTAGTAAGGTAGAGGTAGATAGAGGTAGAGGTAATAGGGTAGAGGTAGATAGAGGTAGAGGGAGTAGGGTAGATAGAGGTAGAGGTAGAAGAGGTAAGGTAGTAGAGGTAGAGGAGATAGAGTAGAGGTAATTTTGAGGTGAGGTAGTGAGGTAGAGGTGATAGAAAGGGAAGGTAGATAAGGTGGGTAGTAGGTAGAGGTAGATAAGGTAGAGGTGATAGGTAGAGGTGATAGAGGTAAGGGAATGGGTAAAAGGGAGTAAGTGAGGTAGATAGAGGTGAGGTGATGAGGTAGAGGGGGGATAGAGGGAGAGGTAGATTGAGGTAGAGGTAGATAGAGGTAGAGGTATGGGAAAAAGGTAAAAGGGAGGTAGATAGAGGGGGGTAATAGAGGTAGAGGTAGAAGAGGTAGAGGTAGAAAAGAGGTAGAGGTAGGGTGAGGTAGAGGTAGTAGAGGTAGAGGGAGATAGGGTAGAGGTGATAGGGTAGAGGTGATAGAGGGGAGAGGTAGATAGGGTAAGGTGATAGAGGTGAGGTAGATGAGGTAGAGGTAGATAGAGGTAAGGGAGATAGAGGTAGAGGTAGATAGAGGAGAGGGTTTGATAGAGGGAGAGGTAGTAAGAGGTAGGAGGTAGATAGAGGTAAGGTAGTAGAGGGAGAGGTAGATGAGGAGTGAGGTAGAGGTAGATAAAGGGAGAGGTAGATAGAGGTAGATAGAGGTAGGAGATAAAATAGGGTAGAGAGTAGAGATAGAGGTAGAGAGATAGAGTGAGGTAGGAGATAGAGTAGAGGTAGAGAGATAGGAAAAAGAGGTGGAGATAGAGAGTTTAAAATTATATATATATATATATAATATTTATATATTTTTTAAAATATATATATATAAAATTATATATATTTATATATATTTATATATATTAAAACTATTTTAACCTATTGAGTAATATATGGATATAATTATAATATATATTAATATATTAATTATTATATGATATATATTTTATATATATATATATATAATATATATATATTAAAAATATATATTATATATATATATATAATATATTAGAGATATATATAGGATATATTTATAAAAAATATTAGGGATTATATATAGAGATAAATATATAGAGATATAAATAAGATATTATAGGATATATATATAGAAATATA